TCTTCGTCCAGATTTCTCTGATTGAATAGAAACTTCACCTACATTTCGCGGTCGTAAATGACGACCAACGTCTCGATAAACTGTCAGAATTTGTCGTCGTGTGTCTTCCCGGTCCGGTTCGTCTTAAATTTATCAGCGACAGATTTTATTGGGAGCCGTCTCACATGCATTTTCAATGTGCACAAAGTCGTTCGCATATGTGAGACCGATTGACGTTATAGGTGAAATGTTTTAAAGAGAAAGAACCGAAAACAAATTTGCATTACTCGGTCTTGCTCAACGCACACTGCACAGTCTACCAATAAAAGGTCGCTAAAAACCGAGTTAGTCGGCAAGCCATTGCCGACGAGCTAGACATACAGGTACTAACTCGTCCATACGTATGCATACGCATATTACGAGCACAGGCTGGTGCGGTTTATGCGTGGGTGAGGGTATACCTACAATCTGTAAGCGTAAATGCATTGAATACCCCCTCAAAATTTTTAAAAGTAGGGCTGTTACATAAAATGTCTCCCTGCCAGGTCCATATCTACGTTTCCCTGTCATTGAGCAGAGACAACGAGAATTCAGCGGGATCCAGTGGCGGGTCCAGGGGGGGGGGGCTGCGGGGGCTGGCAGCCCCCACCCAAGGAAAACTGGCGCCACTGCGCCGAAGGCGCAGTGGCGCCAATTTTCAATTCGCAACTCATCGGAGTGCCGCATACTAGGACTAGGATGCAAAAATCAGTCGAATAACGTCGTTTCAGTACGCTCCGCACCGATATTTCCAATCGTGTGGTGTCACTGTACATACTGATCCTGGGCGCCTCTTGTCAGGGCCACTGGGCGCCAATATTTCAGCGCCAATACGATGCGACTATGGCGCCCATCCGGGGCGTGGCGCCCAATTATGACCTGCAGCCCCTCCCCAGTGAAAATCCTGGATCCGCCACTGGCGGGATCTGCGGTGGAACAATCGTTGACTTGCATCACTAAATGATGGATGAACAGAACTTTCAGAGTTGAAGATATATGATGCCGCTTTGATAAAAGGCAGTCACCCACTGTCGCTTCAAGGAAAAGAATATCCATATCTGAAGTCGGCGTTCTGAGAAGGGGAATAATGTTGAAGTTTATACCTTTGGGCTTTGTGAGCATTGTCAATCGGACACACGCTGTGTTTGAGTGAGAAGCAAAGAATGTCAGCAATTTACTGCTAGGGAGGGGAGCTTCATTTGAAAAAGGCAGCATCGTGTCCGCCTGGTTTTTGATAAATAGCAAATCCACCACTATGTATTGGCTGCAAAATTACGCTTACTTCGGTTATCGGTACTGTGGTGAGCACTGACTAACCGTTCCGCCCGTTTTGGTCAACACCCCTAGCTCCTCAGCCCGGTCACAAGGAACACGAGCCCTTGGCCTTGCGGTCGCAATAAAACGTAATGACCGTGCCCCGGTAACAAACGGCCTACTTCTGGTGCCAAATGGACGCCGCTGCAGATATAGGCGACCTGTCATCGCCAGAGGTACACCACCCATAGCGATATGATCCGCAGTCGACGACCAGCTGATATTTTCCCCTTTCCAAAAATAGAATAGAGAAATAGAAATAGAAAAGAAAATTTAAAAAATTGTCATTAGACAAAATGAAATTCTACAAAGCGGTGCCCATTTCATTAGGAATTCGAGCTCTTTTTGCTTACTGCACACAGACCCACCAACATACTAATCAAGAGTTGCGTGTAGTTATGACAGAACAAGAACACCATGCACGTAGTAATTACTCGAGTGAGCACCATACATGTTCTCACCTGAAAGTGAGTACACGCCAGCTCTCACCAATAAGTAACGCATCAGTTCTCACTTGGTAATAAGGACCCCACCAGTTCTCACCTTAGAGTGAGCAACTCCGCGTTCATCGAACCATCCTATCACCAGATCAGCGCCTGCCATGGTGCCGGTCTGACTGAGTCCCAGTCCCAGCCAGCCGTCCGTCTGGAGGCAGATCTCGAACATGATGACCCCCTTGTTGACGTCAGAGGTCCAGGATAGCTGTCCGACCCGGCCCAGAGGTGTTGAGGCCTGCCAGGCGGCGACTGAAGGTAGGTGGGTCCACAGTAATAACCACGTGGTCAACAGCGGCTTCATCATGGTCAGTAGAGTCAGCAGAGGCTTCATCGTCGCCATCAGAGGCTTCAATATGGTCAGCTTCTGGGATGACCGTGACAGTGATGGCGAGACACTACAGCTAGACTTCATTTTTCAACGCAGTTCGTTCTAGAGATATAGTAGATCGGGGAAAATCCGTAACACTTGGAGTCACTGTTTCGAGATGGCACCAACATGCATCAATGATGGTCCTCTTCAATCCAGTTTTGACCGTTTCACATTGCACATCTTAGTCCAAATCCAGCTAGAACCTGTTCAAACCGCTCACCACCAGCCTGACCCGGTTCAATCTTGTTTCCAGCCACCTCTCTCGCCCGATCGACTCTAACCCCTCTCGTGGCACGTCTCGCCACGTTCGTCGCGTCTCGCTCCGCTCGCCGACGCGACTGAGACGCCGTCGGTGCCGTCGGGTCGGCGTCGACGTGGCGACTGCCGTTGGATCAGCCGGGGAGGAACAGTGCCGTCGATGGTCGCGTGGGGCCGTCGGTGGCTGACCCGGCACGAGCCGACGACTGACGGGGGGAGGGGAAATGGGTCAGGTCATCTCAAGCTGCAGACGGCAGGTCACTTTGAAACTGTTATTGTTATGGAAACAAATGTTTTGTAGCGCTTTTACTCGTGTTATCCACTGTGGTCTAATATTCCTCTTTTAGGGTGCCCACCTTCATGCTAGTATACTAGAAAACCTTCGACATTAATTTGCTAAATGTACGTCTTTGCTGTTGAAATTAATATTGGTATTACGAAATTCGTCACAACATTCAAGAAAAATAACAATGAATCTCTACCATGCAAAAATGTAATGAAAAGCGTCATACATGCTAGCGATATTAACCTAGTGATGAGCATTTTCACCGGCGAAAAAGATGGCATCAAATGGGACTTTGGGAGGCGATTCCGCGTTACAGGGTGAGGATATGGGAAAATGGACTGGAAATCTGTGGTGAGGGCGGGCACCTCTTACGAAAACCGGCAAGTGAAAAAAAGGTGACAGTCTACCTTTAACTGAGATGGCCCTGAAAAGCGTATAGCAAATTTAGTATGTTTGTGTTGTGTCCATATTTACGCAGTGGCCACTGGTCATTCACCCGAAAATGTTGACTCCTTTTCATTTTTCTTGTACACTGAGACCGAGGTCAATTTCGAGCGTTTATTTCGTCTTTTGAACCACATAATCATCACAATTCGCATAGCCAAGGTTTCATATTGCCATGAGGTGTTCAACAACAGTCATCACATCCACACAGATAAACACAGTCATATAAATACATAGAATACCTCCATAACTACTAACTTCGTCTCCACATGCCCATATGTTGACCTGAGAGAAAATGGTAGGTAACATGCTATACTTATCAGTGATACTCCCATATATATGTCAGCGTAGGGGAGAGTGGGGTAATTTGGCCGCTTTTTTTTAGAAAACGATGTAACTAAAAATCGACAACACATTTCTGCATTTTCTCAACGCTGACAGGTGTGGCATACATTTTACTTTCCTGGACAGAAAACTTGAAATGATAGGGTAACTACTTATATTGAAATTGTGACGTATTACAAAGGTCTGCAAAGCGGCCAAATTGCCCCACTAGCAGGGTTATTTGGCCGGGGGTGTGGGGCAATTTGGCCGGTGTTAGTTTGAGGCCATGATTTTTGTTATCGGCGAGTCAGCTTCACATTCAGCAATGACGCGTGTCCTACGACGCATTTGAAGCATTTTGGAGGTTGACTCAGCCGTCACAGGGGTCGAAAATAGTCAAAATAGCGGCTCTAGATGCGATGACAGTTTTTTACGAATAGCTTTTAAAGTAATCAAGCCAGGCCAAAACTAAAAGTACCATCGTAATTCTCTCGTCATTCCGCATCGAAACATGTATGTGTTGACCTCGAGAGGTCAAGGTCAAAGGTTGGCTTCAGGTCACGTTACCTCAGGTCGCTTGACCTCAAGGTTACGTGAGTTCAAGGTCATCATGTATACCATTCGATGCGCCTTGACGAGCTGAACACAATGAGGCCATTTGCGCGGCTGTATCTTTTTCTGTAAGTATTTATTAGCAAAAAACCGTTAGGTAACCGTTGATGACGTCACATGCCCTTACAGCTGTCCAATAGGAAATATGGCATCGAGGTAGTCAGAGTTGGTCATGAATTATGTCCTTTATGGTATAATTGACCGTGACAATCGGCCGTCCCAGCATAGTGACTCTAAGCGCACCGGCCAAGTTGTCCCGCTAGTCCCGGCCAAATAACCCCACATTGCCATTCTGAAAATTTTTGTCTATAAAGTCGTCATGGCTGTACAGAACTAGATGAAATTGCTCTTGGAACCGCTGAACACCCTCAAGAATGGCGCTATAATGTTGGAATTCGTTTACAGCCCAAATACTACATGTTATACAAATTTTTAAACGGAAGTAAAAGTTACCATTTTCTAACGAAATTCACGTTTTATTAATTTTGAATAAAACTAAGCGGGGGAAAGTTTTGACATTTGTTCTCAAGTTAGTTCTGCCGATGACAAATGAATAGAGACTAAAGTTATTTCATTCACTTTTATCAGCTTTCGTACAGGTGGGGGCGGCCAATTTACACCACCGGCCAAATTACCCCACTCTCCCCTACCTAGTTAGTAGAAGCCCAGTACTTAGTTGACGGGAAACAACTGCAGACACCACGAAAATACGTTCCCTTTCAACGAAAAACTACATGTTGAGCCAAAATGTCTTAAGGACGCGCACATTTAGAAGCAGCGCATTATTTATTATAGGTAATCTGTTGATACCTAAACCATAGACATCATCCCTGAGCAAACAACCATGAGCTTAGTAGCGGGCAGCACCGAAAATGGCCAAAAAACTTTCTTTACTCTAAATACGAACTAAGCGGAGATGACGGTGGCGCCATCAGCCGGACGACAAACGTAAAAGGTGGCGCTGCCGGCGTACTCACTCTTGAGTTTTTGAATGCACAGCTCCACGGCACCCTTTTTCACCTGAGAACAAGACATGATGTTATTAGCAAATCAAAGTGCCTATCTTTTATGAGTGATATTTAATAAGTGAGCAGCAATTTATCATAGTTTCCAATTTTATATGAAAATAATGCGACAAATTGACTTCATAGTTTTGCCGTATGGTAATAGAATGCGCATTGACCATAACATCACATTGTGCGATTGTTGGGGACAGGGACCTTTGAGTTTTCACTTGTAATGACTTTAAAAAAGGAATTTATCGTACGCTAAATTTTGGAACAGCTGAGAGCGTGACACAGCTTGAATTACCAGCGTGACGGTGCACCCTCCGAACCCCCCTCCGGTCATCCGGGACCCGAACACCCCCTCCACTGCGGCGGCGAGCCTCTGTAGATGGTCCAGCTCCGCGCACGACACCTCGTAGTCGTCCCTAAAAAAATAAACTCGTACGTGAAAGATATGAACGGCACCTCAAGACTGTCCCTGAAATATACGACGGAGCAACAATACCAAGACAAGGCGAATGGCACCTCGAAATGTTCCGGGTTAAACGGAAATAATATTACAGAAATAATATAGGGGCATTCCACGTCAAATCAAACACCGAAATCCGTCATCCCCTTCGATTTTTCTGAAAATTTGTAGGCAGACTGGACATGGTTCAAAACTGAGTTACGTATAATATTTTCGAAATTTGATAACGTATCGCTGAGATATAGGTCATCGAATATAGCGAAAAATGTCAAACATCATTTTTTTAAATGGCTATAACTCTGGTTCCTACTATAACTCTGGAGTCAAGACATGCTTGCTTGTGTACACTTTCTGAAATGAATGATTTCTGATTAGTGATATCCCAATTCCCAAACTCTGCGAGAATGGAAATGCATTGTCATCGTAATCAAGCATTCACGTTCCATAGTAAAAGTGTCTCAGGCAATTGCGGTGAATTTTGAGCCGTGTGGAAATGCATCATGAAGTAAATTCAACGAAAACATTATCACGCAACGATATCTTCACGTCTTTTGATCTTCACTATACGAAAGAACATACATTTTTTAGTATGTATGGGCAATTTCTAGTTAATCCAATAATAAATATGGCAGTTAGAGGCCTGCTAAGAGTAACATGTCGCCGGCTGAGGCGGGCTCGGCCGATGCGGGAAACGCAGCAATCACAATTTTGTGTTTACACGTTCATATTTCAATTGTTTACCAACCGATTTTCAAAATTCTTTCACCATAAGATTGCCTGTACATTTCTTAGTCTTCTCACAAAATTTGACGCGAATCGAAGGTAATCAGCGGTAGGGAGCGCGATGTAAAGACGGAACCGTTCCGTTCCGTCCCGGCACAGTCTACAATTCAGGCGGCGCGTAGCGGTCGGCGCCGGCTGCCGAGTCGCCGCGTTGCTGCGGCGACAGGATGTTCACTTTACACCGCTATTACTAGAACAGTTGTGAACCGATTTTCTTATTGCTTGCACGATGAGATGTCCAATTCAATTCTTGACAGGTAGCCATAATTGATTTCGCATTAATCTTATGAGATATTGGCGAAAAACAGGAGGGGTGGGCGAAATTCGCTCTTCCCCCTCCACTGCGCGTGCTAACATACGTTTGCATATGTGCAATTTTCTTCCAAACTTATGAATGGCCCACTCTAATTTTTTCACAGGTTGTTAACCCGCGAGTTGCTGGGGGGGGGCGTTAAACGCCCCCACTTTTTTCGACGGGCCATAGCATAAAAACGGCGCGCCGCAGGCGCGCCAAATTTTGGGTACCTGTAGGGAATTGATTGAAGTTTATTGTGACAAAATTTGAAAAAAAATCGGTCGGAAAATTTTTGAGATATCGAGGTTTTAGTGACGTCATGATTTCTGACTTTTCGACCAAAAACGGCATATGTTCAAAAAATCATATAAAATCACAGAATAGACATAAAGACATGCCGTAAACGCCATTAGACTGCCAATACCATGACCAATCAAATGGCTATCTTCGATTATTGATTATCGTTCCGCATTTTCCAAAATTTTGAACTGAATCTTGGCAATTTTTCGTGACTACTTCACGATCATGATACATGAATTTCTTAAATTGAACTTTTTGAGTCAAACACGTACACATATGATAAAATGAATGTCACCATCGTGTTCTGCGCCCCAAATTACCTATAAAACATGTGTCACAGGCTGCGAATTTCAGTTTTGATTTTCAGGGATATGTGCCTACCCGGTTGACCTGACCTTGACCCTGACCTATGCTTGACTGACCCCTATATGGAGCTGACACTCTTGTAGGCCTTATAAGATGGATTGTGCACCGTTTTGACAGAGTTTATGGCGAGAGGCGCCCATTGCGAAGTCCTGAAGTCCATGCTACTGAAAGCCCGATTTCAGGTGTTTGACCTGACCTTGACCCGACCTGTGACCTCATAATTCAACTTTAAAGTACTCATCTGAAGCGTCTCGTCGCGCTCTTTCGTTTGCCGCCTCGTGCGTTTCGCTGCGCCTATTGGTTCTCGAGTTATCGGCTGGGGGCGTTTAACGCCCCCCCCCCCCCCCCAGCAAACGGTGGGTGGCGAAATACCCCAGCAACTGCCGGGTTAAGAATATGGTAGGCAATAAAATATATGAAAATGAGCCAAATCGAAGGTGACGTGTTTTTTGCTATTTCAATATTTGTGCTTAAGAACAGAGTTAAGCAAATTTCAAGGTCATATATTTAAGTAGGTGCAATTCTAAAGAAATGCTTAAGAAATTACCTAAACAGTAAGGTTTATTTCATTCAAATCAAACAAGTAAAACCAAAGTTATGGTCGTTCAAAAATATAAAGATGCAACATTTTGTAAAAATTTGATGCCCTATATTTAGAAGACCTGTGGTCAGAATGTGCAAAAAACATCAATGTAATGTCCGGGGCCACACAGGAACTCGCTCACAAATTTATGATGAAATCGCTGATGGTAAGCTGCAAAACAGCCGATTTTTGTTCGATTTGACGTGGAATGCCCCTATATCGAAAGCATTCCTGAAGCGTTGGCCCTGGGTTTTTAATTTGAAATCGTTCCCGCATAGTTACGTGACCGAGAGGACAACCCTAAATTTTCGAATCAAAGCAACTAAATTGTAAATTTTACTTTCATTGATTCGTCAAACGCTCGAGGTCGACCTTCAGTTCAATATTGTCATTTCGGAAAGCACCTTTAATCACAAGATAATAGTTATCAGCTTCCGACTGGTGCATAACTATTCACCATAAATGATGCCGTAGTACCTGAGCGATGCGTGGCTTTCGTTCATCAGTTTTCCCGCCGTGACATAGTCGCCCTTTTTGAAGGCCTCAGCAGCCGCCTCTGTCCGAGCTATCTCAGTGATCACGTGACGAGCTCGACGATAGTCTTCTTCGGAAATGTCGCCCTGCCGCTCTGGAAGACCGGAAGTGAGGCACCGGAAGCATAAAACACGAGGTGACAGGTGTCGAGCGTTACTCATCCATTTAGGTAATGAAAACTCGTGACGGGACAGCGTCCACAGTGTCACGTAAAATAGTCATTTCTCAATCCAAAAGCGACCGATTTTTAAGTCAAATAATCGAGCTAGATATGAAGTAGCTAGGGCACCAAATGAACACTGCATGTCAAAAGAAGGCAGAAAGTATCGATAATATAATGAAAGAAAAAGTATACGAAAAGGCTCATAAAAGTTGTTCTCACAACATTTATGCATGAATAATATTGTGATGACCCTATGCCGATTATAGCCTGACGTTTTGCCAACCTTTCAGGAGTTCCATGGTGGCTTCTCGCAGTGATTTGACGCCGAGTACTTTTGCCGTTTTGAAGCAGGCTCGTCGTCGGCTGGGGTATTCTGATCCAGTCAGTGTGTGGCGAACATTGGAGTTGGTGATCAGCACTGCCACCTGGTGGTCGGCCAGTGGAACTATAGAGTTGACTCCAGAGACCTGTAGGCAGCAGATTGTGATCTTAACCACTTCTTAGTGCTAGGTCTGAAGTCCTAAAAGACATTATTGGACAGGATGCCAAAGAAAGTATCCTGCCTTCATCAAAAATGCTGCAAAAACCAGTCAATATCAACCATTGAAACACATAGTAGGGGAGAGTGGGGTAAGATGCCCAGGGTGGGAAAGACGCCCCACCCCTCTAGCGGGGAAACAAAGAATCGAACCTGGAAATTAATGTTCTTAGCGTAAAGCGGAAGCCTGCCTTGTTAACTGCACACAAATTTGCGAAGCTCAGTTGGGCAACGGCTGCCTGGTGATTGCATGTTTTTTATTTGCTGCTTTCAAAAAATATTTTGGCGTCAAAACATTGTAAATATCAAAGAAGGTAGATAATTTTTGCGTCCCTTGCTATAGTCGCGATACATTAGCATGCGTGTACTGTGTCCCAAACAGTTTGTTTCAGGGTTTAGCTTTATGGCTAACAAATGGTGCTGATTTAATGTTACTTCGGTACCTTGGGGTAAGATGCCCCCTGTCCTGATGGGGAAAGACGCCCCCCTGAATCCGTAGGCTGTCCTTCAAGCAGCCCGTCAAATCATTTATTACATACTTGTGATGAGAGACAAAAGCCGATCTGGGACTATTGAGAGTCCGGTACGGTCGGGTGCTCCCCATGCCGGTCTTTCGGCCCACACAGCGGCTTTTTGGGCGGCATCTGACTCTGAGAGCCCTCACGACGGCCTCTGTGGGCCCCATTATTGGTTCCAGGGCCCCTCACGACATCCTTTGAGGGCTCCCACGTTGCCTCCACGGGCCGCGCTGGCATCTGAGGTCCCCACGATGGGCTCGAGGGCCCTCAAGCATCATAAAGACCTATAAGGGTCCCAAAGTGGTCTCCGAACGCCACCACGGAGGCTTGTTTGGCCACGCTGGACTATGATGGCCCTAACGATGACCTCTGAAGCCCCTTACGACTACTTTTGAGTGCCCTTACGATGACGTTTGGTGTCTACTGCAGGCTCGAAGGGACTACTGATTCGTTCAGGCGATTCACGTGCCTATTTATGTCACTTATAGTGCAGGGGGCATCTTACCCAACGCCAGGGGGCGTCTTTCCCACCCTGTGGGGTAAGATGCCCCCTTTCACTTCTTCAGGAAAATGCTTAATAGCAAAAAAGTTATCATATTTCAGGCACGAAAGTGTGATATTTTTGGAGAAAAATGATGTCGGCTTCCGTTGTAACTACAAGTTTTGGCATTCCGATCGCCATTTTTGAATAATATATGAAATAGTCAAACCCTGGGCATCTTTCCCCACTCTCCCCTAAGCCCTACACCATTGGGTGCATAATTGTATTGTTTCTGGGCGAAAACCCAGCCTATAGAGACGCGACCTGCCATCCTGTTAATTCCCATGGCAGCCCACCTGCAGTCAATAAGGAGAGCGTTGTCCTTTCGTCCCATGGCCGAAATGAACTGGTCCATAATGCCGCAGGGCATTCCGGGAAACTCGTGCTCCGCCTTCTGACACTGCAGCGCCTTTTCGCGCAGGCTGACAAGGGTGAAAGGCGTCAGACGAGAAAAGAAGCTAATAAGTAAGGGACATTAAACAATTAGTGCCACGTTTTTATACACAGAACATAAGATAAAGCATAACACATTTCGTGCATTGTACACTATGATTTATGAATATCTTGTTTTGTTCAATGTTCATTGGCATTTAAATTCATTCGCTACCTTTTATTCGCCATTGAGGAATCGTTTTTCGACGACTAGAAAAGTGGTCACGAAATTATATAATTTAGAACACATTCGAAGGATGAGAGACCTCTCTGTTTGTTTGTTTTTAAAACTAACATAAACATAAATAGGTACGGTGAGAGCTGAGAACCGTTAGAACAGCCAAATATATCACCTCGACAGCAACGCCTTGCAAAAACAAATTTCAGGTGACAAGTGACGTTATACCCTAGACTGCATCTGGCACAAACATATAGGGGAGAGTGGGGAAAGATGCCCAGGGTTTTACTATGTCATATATTATTCGAAAATGACAATCGGAAAGCAAAAACTTGTGGTTTCAAAGGAAGCCGACATCATTTTTCTCCAAAAATATCTCACTTTCGTGCTTGAAATATGATAACTTTTTTGCTATTAAGCATTTTCCTGAAGAAGTGAAACGGGGCATCTTACCCCACAGGGTGGGAAAGACGCCCCCTGGCGTTGGGTAAGATGCCCCCTGCACTATAAGTGACATAAATGGGCACGTGAATCGCCTGAACGAATCAGTAGTCCCTTCGGGCCTGCAGTAGACACCAAACGTCATCGTAAGGGCCCTCAAAAGTAGTCGTAAGGGGCTTCAGAGGTCATCGTTAGGGCCATCATAGTCCAGCGCGGCCAAACAAGCCTCCATGGTGGCGTTCGGAGACCACTGTGGGGCCCTTATAGGTCTTCATGATGCTTGAGGGCCCTCGAGCCCATCGTGGGGACCTCAGATGCCAGCGCGGCCCGTGGAGCCAACGTGGGAGCCCTCAAAGGATGTCGTGAGGGGCCCTGGAGCCAATAATGTGGCCCACAGAGGCCGTCGTAAGGGCTCTCAAAGTCAGATGCCGCCCAAAAAGTCGCTGTGTGGGCCGAGAGACCGGCATGGGGAGCACCCGACCGTACTGGACTCTCAATAGTCCCAGATCGGCTTTTGTCTCTCATCACAGGTATGTAATAAATGATTTGACGGGCTGCTTGAAGGACAGCCTACGGATTTAGGGGGGCGTCTTTCCCCATCATGACAGGGGGCATCTTACCCCAAGGTACCGAGGTAACATTAAATCAGTACAATTTGTTAGCCATAAAACTACACCCTGAAACAAACTGTTTGGGACACAGTACACGCATGTTAATTTATCGCGACTATAGCAAGGGACGCAAAAATTATCTACCTTCTTTGATATTTACAATGTTTTGACACCAAAATATTTTTTGAAAGCAACAAATAAAAAACATGCAATCACCAGCCAGCCGTTGCCCAACTGAGCCTCGCAAGTTTTTGTGCAGTTAACAAGGCAGGCTTCCGCTTTACGCTAAGAACATTAATTTCCAGGTTCGATTCTTTGTTTCGCCGCTAGAGGGGGTGGGGCGTCTTTCCCACCCTGGGCATCTTACCCCACTCTCCCCTACATTCCTACAACGACTGGTGAATTGGTGATACAAGTTTTGAATAAATAAGCCCCCGCCTGTCTCGTCAACGCAGTCCACTACACAGATGTGCCGTAGAGTTATCGATCGGTTATCGATTTCGATTAGATAGTAACTACATAGTGGCGCTTGGCGCTAATATGTACTTATACGCTATAACTAGCTCAAATAGAGTGGATCTAGCTCAAACTGATTAATAGCCAGGCTCCTAATAAGGTAAGAAAACAGAAAACAACAGTGATAATTTATGACCCTATCAGATAATTCGTACCTAAGCTCCATAGCAAAATGATAACTAACATATCAGTGGGAACTGGGAATAATGATTTGTGTGGATAGTTTTCGAAAGGCAAAATTGAGCCTTCACAGCCCTTGAACCTTATTTAAATTGAACCTCATTTGCCTTGCCTGTACCAAAAGTCAGGACAGTAAATCATTCAAAATAATTCATTTAGAGAGTGTGACTGTCTCTCCACAACAAACCACGCTAAATTAATTTATTCCCATCCTCCGTCTCCAATAAATTGCATACCTCTTTGCCTTTCGTCCAGTAAGTGCCTCGAGGAAGGTATACATCGCCACCTCTAGAGAGGCAGAACTGGAGAGACCCGCTCCAAGAGGAACGGTCGAGGCCAGCACCGCTTCAAAAGGCACCACGCCGCCTGAGAAAAAAGAATTGGATAAATTGACGGGGTAGAAAAGGAAGAAGTTGAACTACACCACAACAACGGGAAAGGGGTAGAAAGAAATGTCTAGAATATAGAAGGTGAGATACTCGTGAGATAAAGGCCCGGTCACACATGCATGACGTACGGCCGGCGCATTGCAAAAAGACCAGTGCGTCGTCGTGCGTTGTTGTGTGACCAACTTTTGTCAGGAGTTCGCAGGAAATGGCAAGTTGACAACGTATGCACAACGCGCTACGAACGCGTTGCCAGCGCGCCGGGCACTTGCACAGCGAATGCAAAGCGCATAAAGGGCGCACACACAACGGATGCACAGCGGCTTGCTAGCGCACGGGACGCATGGACTGCGCGTGCACCGCGCATTCACCGCACAGCCAGCGAACTGCTTTTGGCAGCGGTGCAGTAGCCCGTCTTGCCTGCTGTCATATCAGAGTAGGGCCTCAAGGAGGGCACATCCTCGTGTTTTCAGATGGTTCAACAGCTCCTGAGATAAACAATGACAATGACAAATAATGTATGATTAAAATCTTACTTATAAATTCTGATATCAAGAGCAGGAGGAATTGAAGAGGAACCCATGCACTATGCAGCAATAACGCAGGAGAGTCGCCCATGAGGGTAGAATGAGCAATGAGGAGGTAGGACCTTGTTATGGTTACAATTAGACATACGCCAGAGGAAAGCTGTGCGCGCTACAGACTCGCTCAGTTCTGGTTTACCACGTCTTTATAGTCAATGCGAATCCGTTAGACATGCGTTAGATGCACGCTATGTCTGCGCTGGGTGTACGCGATGCATCAACCGACGAGCATACAACGATTACCTAGCGTATATTCCGCGTGTATCTGGCGCTGGTCCAACGCGCTCCGCGTGTGTCTGGCGTCCGCCTTCGTGCGTCGAGCTCAACGCACATTTTTGAGCATGCACAAAAATTGTCGACGCACGCGACGAATGACGACGCATGATTCCGTTCGCCCAGCGCGCTCGACGAACGAGTAACGAATGCATAGCGCAGGACGACGCACTGGCCAGAATGAATGAATTTTTGGTGCGCGGGCCGTGCGTCGTGTATGTGTGACCGGGGCTTAAAAAGCCCGCAAAGCGTTTAAAAGGCTGGTTGGTATACTCGTAATCAGGCAAGTAAAACCCTAGCACGGTGACAAATGAGACTTTTTCATTTTCTGTGACCTATTCAAGGCAATGTTCATCGTGCCATTTTCTACCTTTGAAGTTGGCCACCACCCCTTTGACGTAGTTGGACCAGGCCGGGGGTCCCGGCCGGAGCGGCGCCTCTTCTGTCGGCGGGTCAAAGGTCACCGATAGGGGCGCGTCGGCCCCGGCCGCCAGGGTGGTCACGTGACACTGGTCCGAGTCAGAGCGGCCGCCGACAACCACCGTCACCAGGGGAAGCGCCTGAGGGCAGGGGAGAGGTCAGAGGTCAAACGTCAGAGGTCAGAGGCAGAGCCTGGGGCAGAGGGAAGAGGAAAGAGATTTGAGGTCAGAGGTCACGGGGTTATAGATAAAACACAGAAGTCAGAGGCCAACGATCCTAGATCAATTCCAAAGATAGCGCCTGGGGGCAGGAGAGAGGTCAGAGGTCAGAGAACAGTTCTCGGGCCAGAGGTTAGAGAGCAGCGCCTGAGGACAGGGCAGGGATCAACGGCAGAGGGCAGATCGCAGAGGTCAAAGGTAGCGCCTGACGGCAGGGGGCAGGAGATCCTCAGAGGTCAGAGACGACGACCAAGGGCAAGGAAGAGAACCGAGGTCAAAAGCGGCGCCTGAGGACAGCTCATGGACATACACAGCGTCTGAGAGCAGGACAGAGGTCAAAGGCCAAAGGACAGCTGATATATGTCAGAAGTCAGACCCTGACGATATTGCATTGCTAGCTGTCAAAATACAGAGATATGCAACATGCATAAAGCCCATAATTTTAAGCGAATTTCCAAATGTGTTGCAGAGGTGACATTGCGATTCTGATGATGATGACGACGATGATATTGAGGATAACAATCACAATCAAATTCTTCATCTAATCCACATTATTTCTCAAACTGCCTCAAGTTTGACTATCCAAACACACGGAAACTCACCATTGGAAATACGAGTCCCTCATTGTAATCCGTAGCGCCTCCCATCAGGTTGACCCGCCCTGGAGCGGAGGCCATGACTGTGGGGTCGTGGCCATGTTTGCCACGAAAGGCTGACTTGGCGAGCTCCAGAAGCACCTTCAGTGGTGGAATTTCTTCTGCCATCGTTACAGGCATAGATATCTTTTAATATTATAAGACAGGGGTCGGCAAATGGTGGGGCATGCCCCCTTTGGGGGTAATGGAGCCCTTTCGGTGGGGGTAATGAGGGATTCTGAGAAAGCCTATCTTTTTAGAGTTTGTAGCTCCAGTGATGGAGCCATCGTGACTGTTGCATCCCAGGGTTCAAAGATTAGCCCAGGCCAAAGGCACAGCAGTCAGCACACATTGATTAGAATACCAATTTTCACGTACCTGCTCGCCTCACCATCTCACCCCTCCGTACAGTCGTACAAAAGCAGCTACAACTTTTGACCGTCGCCCGTCTGTTGGCGTTTCAACAGCCGCTAACGTAAGGGGGAGGAGTCGATCGGACCCCCGCGGCCTCTCGGACTCTGATATGGAGCTGTGCATAAAAAAGACAAGCGTGCTACCCATGACAATAGGAAGCCGCTGCTGCCCATTTTTAAGGTCCTTGGTCATTCCGTCTCAAGAGGGCAATGACAAGTGTCGAGAAAATCGGGACCCGCTATAACTCCTTGAAGTGAGAGTTTATGGCTCAAGATGATCGCCAGAAAAGCTCATAAGCCAACGGTCATTATGGGTCCAGAGGCCAGTTTTACCAACAGAAAAATAGCCGCCTGCCGGAATTTTTGCCTTAAGATCGTATCACATATGGAGCGTAAACGGTAAAGCCCTATCCGCTTACGAGCCCATCGCGTTTACGCTCCGTATGTGAAGCGGTCTTGAGGCAAAAATTCCGGCAGGCGGTTATTTTTCTGTTGGTAAAACTGGTCTCAGGTCATGATATTTTCCGGGCTGGTAAAAAAATATGATGGGCTCGAGGGTACAATTTGGTCGTGATCCAATGCCTTTTACGTGAGCTTTTAACGAAAAACCACCCGCCGCCCCTATACGTAAAAGGGTTAAATGGGATATAGCATAGGCGGCGGAACGGGGAGGGCACCGGGGCACCGTGCACCCTTTGATTTTTGCATTTTAACATTAGCCCTATGGGCGTTGCATGGAAAGAATGGGACCAAAAGTCAGCAGTGCCCCCCCCCCCCTCCCCTCCCCATGAAGGTGTTCCGCCGCTACTGGGATATAGGCATTAAATGTTTTGTGGAGGAAGTGTCATGTTTTAAACTTGATGCATTGGAAATGCACAAATACCCAAAGAGTTCCAGGACGGTATGGAATTTCAGTAAGCTTGGTTGTGTCAGCAATGGGGTCTGGTAGGTGGGGGTAATGGCCCTGCCTGGCGCCCAAAAAGGGGGCACGACCCCGAATGACCTGCCGACCACTGTTATAAGATCTCTATGGCTACAGGGCAAGTAAGAAATAAATGCAGATAAGAACTGTGAATGGAGAGGAAACGGACGAAATAAAGGTAAATACCGAATGAAATTAATAAAAATGCAACACAAGTATTACATATCATATCAAAACATAGGTAGGTAATTGTGCTGGACTATGGGTGCTCGAGCGCTCCCAATTCCACGCCGGCTTGGCTTTGGAGCCGCAACAGACGGCGGAGGTCAAAGTTACCGCTAGGCGGGGGCGGATTGGCTGCGCCTGAGCTTCATAACTCGGCACAATTATCCATCTATGCATCAAAATACAGCTTAATAACGCATTTTCAAAGCAGAAGCTAAGGGAGCAAGCAATAGACCACCAAAAATGAAAATTATGACAATTATAAGACCAACACAAAAAGCCAGACTTCTATGAACTTACCCTTCGGCTCTCGCTCACAGCCCAAGTGCAGTTGTCCGCACCCCACCAGCGCGGCAATCCCTCTCATCTCTAGCCTGAGCAAAAAGGTCGAACCGCCACCAGCCCTCTCATCTCATATCTGGATTTATCAGAATCCGTTTTTATACTGGGCTACACTACAGGTCAGGTCATTCTGTTCTACAGCATCAGGCGTGACATCAAGATAAAGAGGAAAGCAAGACATTGGATTGGGGTGATGCAACCGCTTGGACTTCCAAAATCTAATTACATTTAAATAGCCTCTCGACCTACATCCACCTGTCCTCACCACGAAACGGTATGCAGCATACCCATCAGAAAACATAGTGTGGTAGGTGGAATAAAATAATGATTCATTCGCTTACCTATTCGGTAATCCAATAGGTATGCATCATTTTCCGCTTGCTACCGCTGATATCGCGACCGCTGCAGACATACGACCTTACAAACTAACTATTCCAATTGCATTACGCGCCTAAAACAAACTTAGATGTGCCATTCCGCAGTCCATGAATGACCCGTGAAAATAAAAGGCTGACGAAAGGGAAGTGTATTTATTTCCCAAGACACTCATAGGCCGGTCGCCATGATCAATTATCGTGCTCCTCAATGCATCGTGACATTTGATTCACTCCTGAAATCCAATCTTAGCCTCCCGTCCAGCTCCTACTCCCCCCCCCCCCCCGTCAGCCTACCCCACCCCTCGCCCCGAGTCATATGACCTTGTCGAGTGTCCTCCACATGGGCGAGCCTCCAGCGCGCCGGTCACGTGACCGCCAGTGGGCGGGGCTAGACGGTATCGTCGGAGGAGGCAGGGGTGCGGGTCCCATGCGGCTGAAATTAGGTTCGATTGTGTAGTGCCGGCCGGGGTTGTGGGGGTGTGGGACTCGTTTCGGTGTGTTGAGGCTGACGCAGTGGAAGTGGAAGCTTTGAGAAAGGTGAGTTGGAGTGCCGACTGGCGAGTTTTTGAGGGTGTCACTTGTTTATAATTCATGATTAGGGAAATATTATGCATTTCAGACCCTGTGGAACAGTCCTTTTCGGCTATTTCTCGATGTATATGCGTTTGATTTTAACGAAATTTTGGCATTGGTAGTTTGAGATCCCTACCTAATTTTTATTAATATGGTCTATTAACAAAAAATGAAAAATAAAGGCACTTGTCATTGAATGATAATGTAAAGGTCGTCAGAGGCCTGCTTAGAGGCTGATACAGATTGGGCGCCATCTCCCCTCTGATTGGTCGTGACGCACTGGCACGCTGCGGCTAGGCTCCGCCCACTTGCGTTCCAGCCTTGGGTCATGTCGGCGGCAGTCGCAGTCTGGCCGGCCGGCGTGCGGGTGGTGCGCGCGGCGCAGCGGAGTGGCGCACTTGCTTGCATGTCATGAACTTTAAAATAAGTTGTTCAACGAATAAGGACAGAGGAAGGAAGAAAAAGGAAGAGGAGACAAAATAACAATGAGACGAACGGTAGACGGTGGATAGTGGACAGCAAACAGTATGCATAAACTCTAGAGCAGAGACGGGAGACAAAGACGGCAGACGCGAAAGACAGACAAAGATGGTAGACCAGAGATAAGTGACGGAGATAGAGATTATAGACGAGAGACTGACAAGGGGGCATGAAGGATGGGAGATCATTAACTCTCGATACCATTGCATATCTACATTTTCAGATTGAGTCATCCTATCTATCTTTCCCTGTTTTATTGTTTTTCGGCCTTAAGATCTATCACAATAGGTATCCTTAACCCTCGCCCGCACATGCCATTTTCCCATCCTAGAACGCACATGGGGGGGGGGGGTGGTTGCCACCCCCCCGCGCCATTTCGTTCCTGTTGGAGATAGAGCTTAGCAGTAAAGACCAAAAAGATTCTTTGGGAAGAGACGAATCCAATGATACCCAGTTTTACCTTCTCAGGTCAGTCATTGACCTTCCAGGTCAGGTCAAACTAAAAAATGTTGCTGTTTTGGGTCACCGTTGGATATCAAGTGCGCTGCTTATCAAATACCGATGACGATGCTGTTTTCTGGTGCCAAGCCAGCTAGAACCTCTTTGTCACACTATCCGACCAGAATTTTGCTGCTGAGGTCATTTCAGGTCAAGTTAGGTCAAGGTCAATTATATGTGTTTGTATGTCTGTGTGTGTCTGTGTGTATACTGATGTGTGCACCGATTGTTTTTGGGTCCATATCACATGAAATCATGATCTGAGAAGCTTTTACCAAAAATGCAGTCAAAAAACTTCACAAAAAGTAAATTCAGCTTGCCTAAAACGCAATTATCTTAGATGACCTAGGTTGACCTTGACCCTGACCTTGACCCCTGTACATCGTCGAACAACATGTTCCATGATAGGTGGGAGGTAAGACTGGCAAAAAAGGCCGAAATCAGGGTGTCAAAAGCTCACAAGGCCCATGGCAAACGCAAGATGTTGAGAATTGGCCATTTGGGTCATGACATGACCTGAAAAACAAGGTCATATCTCCGAAACCAAAAATCACAGAAACTTGAAATTTTCAGTGGACATCAAGAAAGGATAGGCGAGCAGCTATACGAAAAATCAGCCGTCTAGCTCTAAAAATGTTGAGTGCAGAGCAGAAAGACTGCCTGGGGGGGGGTGGCAACCACCCCCCCCCCCCCATGTGCGGGCGAGGGTTAAAGCATGGTGTAAATATTATGGAAATATTGAATATTTTTACCCAAAAATAATATCATTGTATTCTCAAAAAATAAAAACAAACCAACTACGAGTATAGTCGACTACAAAATGATGTTCCACTCCTCAGAAGCTATCAGTTGACCGGAGCGCTAAGTTGTGCCGTTATCACGCAATTAAGCGTGTCGATTATGAGCATTGGGACAACCGACAAAGTTATAATTTGTGAACTCAGCCCGTGTGATGCGGCACAGCCTACTATTCCAGGCAAATAATTGCCTGTGAAAAGTGGAACATCATTCTGTAGTCGACTATACATATGTGGATATCCTCAATTAAATAAGGCCTTTGAATGTCACCCTACGCACGTAGATTCTGTCTCGTTACTCTGCGCCATAGTCTGTAGGAAAACAGGGCAGCGGAGAAGCTCGCTATAAATTATTGAAAATGATTCTTCTAATTTTGTAGGAATAACATTCTGGTGCTTCATCTGTAGCTAGAAGAAGTGCTTATCGTTTTATACATACATCAATCTGCATTGCATTTTTCATCCTTATATTCTCTCCGCGCGAGATACGATATTCACGCAAGGACACCAGCGTTAGCGCGTGTCTTGTTCCAGCCCGCCAGAGCTCCGCACCGCCCTGACCCCGAGCGGCGAATGACCGGTCTCGGTGTCGCGGCGCAGTGGGCGGAGCTTAGCTGCGGCGCAACAGCTGACGCTGCTACGCCGTGCTAGCCTCTACCACGGCGCAGAGTTTTCCGATCAATTTTTACCATTACAAGTCAATGACAAGTGCCTTTCATTTTGATATTTTGTTAAAAGACCATGTTAGTAAAAATTAGGTAGGGCCTTTAAACTCATTGTGTCAAAGTTTGGTTGAAATCAAGCGTATAGGTAATGAGAAAGAGCCAAAAAGGACTGTTCCAGAGGGTCTGAAATGCATAGTAGTTTATGTGTAAAAGGATTCAAGTAATAATATTACAATCATACATTTCCCTATTTTATACCAGTAGCTCATAATATATTCAACCAAACCATCGCATTGTCTGTGCAAATTCTGAAAATATGCCAATTTTACTTCTTACACGTTATGAAGTGTTCACTTGATAGGGGCCCCTGGTTCCCTTCATGAAACTCAGTTGGGGAAACTACGAGGCGAATGTCAAAAAATGGATTGGTCAATAAATGGACTTTTGATGACCATATATCAGTTGGTGACATACCAGGGAAATAAGCTAAAATTAGAGCGCTCTATTTATCGCTCCTGCCCCATGTTGAAGAGATACCCCTAAAAGCGTGATCTTTTATCGGCCCTTACGCAGCAAGGCAGTAATTCTCAGACCGGTGGATGGTATCAATAGAAAGAGAATGCGTCAAAGATTAACATGAATTAATTAAAATAACATTAAAATGTTAATTAAGCGTGGAAATTAGTCCCAAAAATAAGCTAATTATTGCTCCTACCTCGGCGACGGCGCTCCCCGCAGTCGGCGGAGAAGCTAAAATAAAAGCCACCATCCTCCTCCGTAAGTCAATTTTAGAGCGGCCGAGTGGGCCGATGCAAGGCCGTATAAGTTGGCCGATGCGGGGCCACCAAACTGAGGTGAGACGTGGCTAGCAATTGCAAACTGCAATAGAAATCAATATCTTAAGACGTACAATATGGGATGATTACTCTGAAGCTGGAGTGAACGCTCGAGTAGATTGCAAGAAACGAAATGCATAGATTGGTTGAATTACGTACAATAGGCACAGCTCAGATGAAGCCATTTCTATGATGTTGACATTTGACATAACCCTTCCTCTCCTCACCTATGACCTAAGTGCATTGGCAGTTACCGGCATAGTTTTTGAGCACGAGTGTAATTCGCCATCGGACCGCAATGCATGTTGCTAGGCTGCTGCAATTACGACGAACATACGAATACTGCATTCATTTGTAGACGTTTGTTTTTTAGGCGGTCTTTGACGTACAAGGGGCATACCTGTCGACAACTTGAGTTTCTCCGAATTTCAAAAACTCCCAGAATTTCAATTCCTTATGCACTGTTGTAGGTACAGCTAATGCTATGTTCACAAGTTTTCGTTTCCTCCTGTTCTAAAAAGGATGATATTTGTCGATTTCGTGCGTCGCTGATAGGAGGGTGCGTTTAATAATTAGGCCCAACGCTTTCTGCATCCGCGAGTACCTCCAAAAAGGGAACAACAGTTTCCATTTATTACACTATGGGACATGTGACAAAATGACCACTGGAACACGTATGAAACGGAGCTCATATTCCTAAAAATGTCTACAATCACTTCTTTTCTGACACTATTAGCAAATACCATCTCAAGTTAGGTGGTTGACAGACAGTCAATGGAGATCTGGGGAGACTGAGTGATGCCAATTCACCACTTAACTGATAATGAGGGCCGAGGGAAGAGAAACATGCAACATGCACAACTGACAACTTGACAAGTGACAAAACACTACCACTATTGCGCAGTGCACAACAAATTACAGCAGCCAGCCCAAAAAATGCTTTTGGTGACTAATTGCAAAACAAGTCACTAATAAATGTCTTAGTTGCAGCTGAACACTGCACAATGATCACACTGTTCACACATTGAGTGAGATGCCACAGGTGGTTTGAATCACACTTTGGTACAACTGCAAATCTGAAGTGTTGTCATGAGGTTCATGCCTCCATGATCACAGCACTTTGGTTGTGGTTGGCATAACACTTGTAGTCTGCAGAGTTCCACATGAACTGCAGACACCTCATCTGGTGGTCTTCATGTTGCTCAACTTCTTCAGGAGGCAAATGTCGACCACCCAGCGGAAGCATGGTCCTGCAGAAAAGAAAGGTAATGCATAAGGTACAAACATTATCTGCTGAAACAGCCCCTTCTGTTGGCTGTTAAAAAAAATAATTTAAAATTTGGCATATTCTATATAACACATTCATAGAATATTCTACTTCACGTCACAAGGACTCACAATCTTTCTGTTGGGTATTTGATTGACGCATTAACTAAGTTTGTCTTAGGTTTTATTATTGCAAAAAATTCATATTGCATTATTGTATCAAAATACTGCCAGCAATAACAAAACAAGAACATGAAATGTCAATGAGCAAGCCGCTTTTCCTAAAAATGGATTACTTTGAAAAGAATTTTAGGTTCTTTTAAGGAAAAGGAGAAATGATTATCAGGTAATTATCAGAAAACCACTCAACCAGCAAGTGGCTGGGTGGTTTCACAGCAAATATCAAGCCAAAACATATACTT